TCATCGGCCTTTCTATCAAAGTCAAACACGCGTTCCATCAACTAACGGCGTCGTTCGGGTCGTACAACGACGTAGCCCGGCGAGAGATGCCGACCGGCACCGTCATGATGCCGCTAACACTGGGTCGCGGCATCTGCGGCATCAACGCTTGTAACGACGCATCGACGTCGATGGTGAACATCAGTCCACAATTCTGTTGTCTGGTGCAGTCGTTGCGAGTGTTCCTGTGCTCTCATTCGACTTCGTCGCTCTCATTCGATCTCGTTATCGGCAGATCACACCACGCACGTCAATTAACCGGCTGCAGGCCCAGTGCAGGGAAGATGCTCCTGGCGCGAAACTGACAAACAGTGAGTCGTCTAGAATGGAGCGTGAGGGTGTATGGAGACTGTTGTGTAACCAGAGAGGAGAGGGTTGGAGATTGGGATTTGGGTATTTAAGAGTTGGCAATGACCGTCGATTTCAAGCATCATTCATCGACCATACTTTCAACTTCCACCTCCTATCCAAACACACCTACCACTGCAAAGTCTCCATCTCACCATCATGCCTCTCACCAAGTACAAAGCCGCCTGTGTAAATTCTCACCCTCACTCCCCCCACGCCCTCCATCTGATCAAAGTGTAGGTCACATCCGAGCCCTGCTGGTTCGACCTCGAAGCCGGCGTCCAGAAGACCATCAAGTTCATCAAAGAAGCCGGCGACGCAGGCTGCAAGCTCATCGCCTTCCCTGAAGTATGGATCCCCGGGTACCCCTACTGGATGTGGAAGGTCAACTACCAGCAATCGCTTCCCATGCTCAAGGGGTACCGTGAGAACTCGCTTCCTATGGACTCGGAAGAGTTCCGTCGGATTCGCCGTGCGGCGAGGGATAACCAGATGTGAGTTGTAGTCGTCTTAGATGGGTGTGGCGACTCTGATTGACAACGCACGCAGCTACGTCTCCCTCGGCTTCTCCGAGATCGATTACGCCACGCTGTATCTCGCGCAGGCCCTAATCGACCCCACAGGCGAAGTCATAAACCACCGCCGCAAAATCAAGCCCACCCACGTCGAGAAGCTCGTCTACGGCGACGGCGCAGGCGACACCTTCAAATCCGTAACCCCCACCGAACTCGGCCGCCTCGGCCAGCTCAACTGCTGGGAAAACATGAACCCCTTCCTCAAAGCGCTCAACGTGTCCGAAGGCGAGCAAATCCACATCGCCGCCTGGCCCGTCTACCCGGGCAAGGAGACGCTCAAGTATCCTGATCCGGCGACGAATGTGGCGGATCCGGCGAGTGATCTTGTTACGCCGGCGTATGCGATTGAGACGGGGACGTGGACGCTTGCGCCGTTTCAGCGGTTGAGTGTTGAGGGGCTTAAGAAGACGACGCCTGAGGGGGTGGAACCGGAGACGGATCCGAGTACTTATAATGGGCATGCAAGGATTTACAGGCCTGATGGTAGTCTTTACTGCAAGCCTGATAAGGACTTTGATGGTCTTATTTTTGTTGATGTAAGCTCCCATTGCCATTGTGCCGCGCCGACCAGTTCACTGATATGTTATTGTAGATCGATCTCAACGAGTGCCACCTGACCAAGGCGTTGGCTGACTTCTCGGGACATTACATGCGCCCTGATCTCATCCGTCTGCTTGTTGATACTCGTCGCAAGGAACTCGTTACGGAAGCCGATACAAATGGCGGCATTGCGACTTACACCACTCGCGAGCGTTTGGGGTTGAATGTTCCGCTCGATGCACAGGCGCCTAAGGGGAAGGTGGGTGCGGCGGATGCGGCTGTGAGCTCTGCTGTCTAGGCCTGTGACACAACAACACAGATCTAGACATGATGTCTCTGCATAACTTAACGTAGTCATAGCGATACTGATGCAGCTGGTGCACTACTAGTAAATGCGAAATCTCCACTCCTACTCAAGACCCAATCCATCAGCCTCTCGACAAATTCCTCGCTTGCAACCTTCGCAGAGCCAGGTTTTGTGTGGCTTGCTCGTCTTTTTACTGTAATGAGGCCGCTTTAATCTCACACCCTTCCACACCAAAAGCCGGTATGAAACTCGTTCCAAATATGAGGATTTGTCCAGCTTCAGAATTCCCAGCTTATCACACTGCTTGCAGCGTTGTTTGAATACCTCGGCGTTGTAGCTGCCGTCTGCATACTGTCGTATTGATATGGCTACTTTGCCACTCGTCCATCTCCAACCACGTGTCGGACAGGTGGGGTCGTAACATCGGAACTCGCCCGTGACGAAGGTTGAATACGTCTTGCTGGTTCCTTGGCTGGTGTTTTTGTCGTTGAAGCGTGGTGGGGTTATGTGTTCTGAGACGGCGAGGGCAATGTCTGGGTGTAGAGATGGGAACATGCGGGATGTACTGGAGGGACCTTTCTTCTTTGCCATCTCCGGACTGTTATCCGCTACTCGAGATGAGCGTAGTATGAACTCGCGCGAGAAGAAGATAAGTTAGATGGGATAATGATAGACGTGAGTTTACTCAACGACGCATAGCTAAGTGAACCGATTCATGAGGCTTTGAAGGAATGTCATCTTTCCTAAGAGCGACAGCCACGGATGTTACCCCGCAACTTGATGAGTTGTACTGCAGCGTATGGTACACAATATGCATACCCCTCAGCCGTGGCATGCTCTGTAGAGGCGTGGTTAGTCGTTCCTCGAATCGCGAGGCGGGGTGGCGCAAGGCTGGCAAGGACGGTCTACGCGGCATGCGACCTCTGGCAACCCGACGTGGGGTCTTATCTATTGCGGACGAACGCAGATATTCATGCATCCAGACTTCATGCGTAAGATCCTGGTAGTTACATGATGCCACTCTTCCAACTGTTTCTGGCACTCCGCATTCTTGGCATGACTAGGGCGCTCAGAGGTTCAGATCGTCCGTAGAAGGCCGGCTTTTTGGAGCGGACAGGATTCATTGTTGTTAGCAGTATTGCCAGGGTAAAGAGATTGCTGCTCATCGTGCAGCGATGGAATCCTAATGGGGTCCGAATGTCATGGAGGAGGTGTAGTGAAGATAGGGGAAGTATAGGCGAGATGTCAGCCGGCACTAGCGCAGAGGGCCGCCGCGGGAGTCATGGATCCTTGTCGCAACTTTACTTTCTCCAAATCTTCCCCACCACCAAAGTCCCGACTTATGACAGCCGCTACCCCTTCACCCTCATAACAATGGCCGACGCAGACGAAGATGCGTCGCACTTGCGTGTACCTGACGCCGCCGACTACGACCCCACAGAGGAAGCGCAAGATTTCCTGAAGCTCGACAAGCTCACGTACGCCTTCACATGCCCACCTATCTCATGTCGCATGGCTGATATAACCACCTCAGAGCACAAGACAGCGCGCATCCAACATTACCTAAGCGTGGCGAAAAGGACTTCGAAAGTCATGAGACGAACCTTCAGCTTGACACACTCGAAGCCTCGCGCCGGGCTATGCACGGCGTCCTCTCGTGGCAGCGCACGCACACGCAAAAGGGCCACATCTTGGCCATGTACGACCCTGAGCGCAACATGGCATGCGTCGACAAGGTCCGCTCACAGCACTTTCAGACAATAGGAACGAATAAAGGCGGAAGAGAATGGTTACTGCCAGAAGAAGCCTTGTTCTTGCTCGAGCGAGGGACATTGGATGTTCGGTGGCCGGTCAAGCGAGAGGTGGGCGACAAGACGGTGTACAGGACTGAAGACGGCGCGCCAATGAGCTTGCAGTCGGCATATGCTGCTTTCATCGGTTTTGAAAGCGGCGTCGGTGGAAAGCTGACACTGGAGATGTACAATGTCTACGCAGGACTGAAGAGATCGGGCTACGTCATCTTCAGGACAGGAACATGGGACCACGATAGAGGAGACGTCGTCCTAGCACCACCCAAGACAGAAGAAAACACCAAAACGGGCCCAGGAATAGTCACCCGTTTCTTCTCCGATCTGTGGCGGCGACTGAGTGAGCCCACATACCACATCTCGTCCGAGCAGCTTGCTTTTGGCCCGCTCATCAAGCCCGGCTTGTATCGAAGCTACAACGACGTCTACCGCCTCCTCAAGCTGATACCCACCTACGACCGCTCTGCCCCACCCACCTTCATGCTCCCACCTTCGTCAGACAACCCATACCGCGTCCACTTCGACGTCTACCGCACCACAGCCCGATTCAAGAAATCCGCCCGCGGACCCCCAGACTTTCGCATATGCGTCGTCGACGCGCGCTCGACGCCTATACCAACAGGCGCACAGCTGAATGATCTCATGGCGCAGGTGCCGGAAGACAGACCCAAAGGCGACGGAGGTCACCCGAACCAGAGGCTGAAGCATGGATGCAGGAATGTGGTTGTGGCGGTAGTGGATAATGGCATACCGAGTTATCTGAGGATTGCCGATGCTCCGTTTGACGAGGTTAAGATTTATGAGAGGTCGGCGCCGAGAGGGAAGGGTGGGGGGAGAGGAAGAGGAGGTGGCAGGGGGAGAGGGAGGGGAAGGGGACGCGGTCGTTGAGCATGGCACTCTCCTTATCAGTGCCAGTCTCCGAGAATTAGCTGCCACCGACGAAACTCGACCAAGGGCTTCGCTGACACCGCAGAAACATCCTGCGAAGCAATGTTCCCCGAGCTAAGATCAGTTCACACGAGACGGAGAGCTCGACCAAATCAGGCCTAATAAGACCGGTGAGCACTCGGCTGATTGCTGTGTCAAGCGGAGCAACAACCCGGGATAACTATCCCATTACGTCGCACTGTGGTATGAGGCATCAGGCACAGGCGTAGAGATGCCAACTCTGTCAAAGGCAAAAGTATGAAAGATCATGTCGCATTCAGCCTATCGAAACAGCTATGAAAAGAACCCCAAAGCAAGCACGATATTAGGCGGGCCTATATACCCTGACAGATATTACTCAACACATTACAGGATCTCTTGTCCCCCTCGGCATTACATTCCTCAATCGCGTCGAAGCGGCCCATCAGCTCATCTCATTCATCTCGTTCATCTCGTTCAGTACATTGGGTCACCAACAGCCGTGATGGATGCGGTGCATACACCATTCTGGCAGTATCCGGCGGGTGTAAGCCAGCCCCAAAGTTCTGGCGCAGGGTTAGCGTCGAGTCACGACGTAAGGACGGATGAAGACTTACCAACAGACTCGCCGTTCTGGAAGATAGCATTTGCCGCGCCAGAGATGGTCGCAGAGCAGACTTGCGTACCGCTGAGCTGATCGCAAGTGATGATGAAAGGAGCCGTCGCGCTCAACGGGGCACTGGCAGCACCATAGCAGCGTCCACCGTCGCACCACGCTGCTACGCTGGTGTTGGTACCGTAGTTGTTGCCGTCAACAAGGAGGTTGTTGAGTGTGCCGGCTACGGTGATGTTGCACTTGTATGAAGAGTCGCATGCGCCGGACACTGTTACACTTTGTTAGTGGATTGAATGGCTTATGGATAGAATTGAACACTTACTAAGGCCATAAGCAGCACCAAGAACACCAGAGAAGGCCTTGTCGATCACACCTGGCATCGCGGGAAGGTTGTCGAGCGTAAGCTTGCCTTGTCCTTGAACGGGAGCAGAGAAGGTAGACGGCAGAGCGGTGGAAGCTGTAGCTGGAGCGGAAGTGGGTGCCGCAGTGATGGTTGCGACCGATGAGGTCTTGACGGATGAAGCTCCCAAGCTGACGTCGACGGCCAACAAGGTCGAAGACGAGACCTTGACTCCCAAGAGGGGCGAGGAAGATCCACCGACATTGACACCGAGCAAAGGTGCGGTACCCGTAGTGGTGGCGGATGCGCTGCTGGCCTTCGAAGTGATGACTGAGCTGGCAGCGCTGCTGACCTTCGAGACGATGGCCGAGCTGCTGGCCTTGGAAACGACCGCGGAGCTGCTAGCCTTGGAGACGACTGCTGCACTGCTAGACTTCGCAGTGACGACTGCAGCTGCGCTGCTGGTCTTCGAAGTGACCGCTGCGACAGCACTGCTGGACTTGACGGCTGCTGCGCTGCTAGTCTTGAGAGCACTGGAGGTTTTCGCAGTGGTAGTAGCGCGTGCGTCGAGGACTGGCGCAGCTGCGGCCAAGGCGCTGAAGAAGGTGATGGTAGCGAGAAGCTTCATGATGATTGATACGAGGGACCGAAGTAGGGGTAGTGATGGAAGAAGCGAGAGATGCCGAGGAGGACAAGAGATCAAGAGCGAAGGTAAAGCTGTGAAGCTTGTAAAGCGAGAGCTGGAGATGCTGAGGATGCCTTTCTCATGCAGCAGAACTGGCTGCTCTTTATGTGTTTCTCCAACACACCATCCGTTCCCTTGAAGCATCCCCTGGGCCGGCGTCATTTGGATTTGTCCCATGGCAACGAGCTCGATCGATGTCGACGAGGAATCCAGATCACCGTCTACACCTCTGGTCTGGCCCTTCCCATCGCGAACGTGCCCTGGATCTAGAACTCTGGTATCGAGAACGGCCACGAAGAACGCTTGGTGTATGCCATCGGGAGTGCGCGAGGTTGCCGGAGCTGGGTACCTGCTTTATCACAACTCCCATTGGTGCGGACCCGATCCGCTGTGTTCAATTCTCCTGAGTCGCATGGTCTAAGCAATTCCAAGATACGGGTGCTGTTCCGCCATAGGCTTGGGTGGAGCAACACGATCTCGAGGCGGGCACTAGCGCATTGCGCAAAGGGTGGGCCCGTCGACCTGGTTGCTTGATGATGCGATAAGGCGCCAAGCACTCGATTTGCATTCCATCGGACACGGTCATGTTGCTTGAATACCATGTAAGGTTCGGTGCTAAGATGGCTAGCACTAGCTCCCGCAACCATAAGTGCTCGCCAGGGGTGGTGCCCAACGCGGGGTTGGCGTTCAGGGTGCAACACCATCTGCGTTCCTGATGATACTGATCAGCGCACAGGATAAGGCCTTCCCCACGATTCAGCCGTTGGATACGATGGAACATCTTCGTGGAGGAAGTGGGTCTTTGATCGACACCTTGTCAGCGCTCTTGTCTTGCTGGATACTTGAACTGCTCGACAACCACGGTCGCTCAACGATTGGGTGACTGACAAATACATATCGAAGTCGTAGCTGTATGTTGGCATGCAGCCTCTATCACAACGCCTGCAAAAATCTCCCTGCAGGCCTAGAGCAGACAAGACACGCCGCCGATATCATGTCACTGCTCCGCGCAACGATAGCGCCGAGAGTCGAGTGCGCCTTTGGATCAGATTGGAGGTCGGACTTGTTTCGCGCCAACCTTCGAAGTTGTGATCAGGAGTGCGCGACGATAGCGCAAATAGTGTTGGGTTGAAGCCTCGTTCTCGCCGGCATGACGGTATCAAAGCCCGTCAGCACTAGCGTAGCGCACCGTTTGATCGACTTCCCACGTTTGGATCGGCGCAGGGGTAACACTTCGGTAGCGATCGTGGTATTAGTATGGTGAGGAGCGGGACGAGTGCCGTGCGGACGATTGGGATGGTGTGTGAGTAGCGCAATATCTGCACTATGGATGAGTCTTCCGGAGGCAGGTCCCGGCTTGCATTATGTTTCGGAAGAGCTGGTGTCTATTGTAGACGTCTAGGAATCGTTAGCAAGAGCCTGTTCGATCGCCGCCATCGAGTGTGAGAAAGGCGAGGAATCTGCTCAGGGTGTGCATCGTGTCGCTTCACTCAGGTTGTTGCTGTATGTTGCTGTGCTCCAGCGGTCCAGATCCTGCTATCGGCTTTGCGTTCCGAGGTCAGTGCACGTTGGCCTAAGCTTCACACACCTTTACACACACCCAAATCGTAGCTACTTCGACTCCCAGACACAATCGGCAACACCCGAAAGACCTCGGATCGATGTTGCGTCCAAGCTCAACATAACGTTATTTGAAAAGACCAGGTACTTGGGTTTGGTATGAGCGCGTGGCGCATGCAGGTCGACTGTTAGCTTGCACGCACCACGAGTGTGTGCCTGGATCACCGCGTCTCACTCATGCCTCAGCAACTAACCTTTAGCTTAACCAGACGTCATCCCTCGGAGCTCTTGCCGCCGATGCGCTGCCTGAACAAGTATGCCACTAGTCCCATCCTGGGGGACAACATACGTGGAGCGGGAGCGACCACCTCGGGAGTATTGAATGTCGAGAACTCTGGCGAAGGGTTGTTGTTAGACGCCCGAGATCTCTCCAGTTTTTAAGGCGCACGAGACCAGAAAAGAAGACGCCTGCTGCGACTGCGACTGCGACTGCGTGTCTGTGTTTGTATTGGGAGATCATGATGAAAGAGGCACTTGCGTGCTAGCGCCGCGCTACCCGACTCCTCCAACACGTCTCTATCCAGCGGTTGTGCTGAAAAGTCCACAGAACAGCGACTGCATGAAAGCGCGAGCAAAATTGCAAATAATTTATGCGCATTTCAAATCTGTTACGATCTCATTGGACCAAACGCTGTTATGATGTCTCAGTCCCCACTATGGCTCCGCTCTTATCACGTCGGTGAATACTTCTCGGCGCATTTCGCAACCACGAGGTACAAGAAAGGATTCGCTAGCCTGGATTTATGACGTAGGATTCAGAACAATGGGGCATCGTTTGACCTTCCGTTTTGACGATTCAAGAGATCCTTCACGTCTGCATCACAGCCTTGAAGGTGTTGTAGGAGTTGAAGATGGTGAGAGTTGGTCTGCGTCATCGTAACGAAAGAAGAGAAGACATGCCGCAAAGCCTATACAGTGCACACAATGCAGGTTTTGACGAAAGCTTTGGGATCATGGTGTTTCGTTTGAACGAAGAGGTTATCGCTTTGGTGAACTACGACTCATGAGTGGGTTCACACAGCGTCCGAAATGGGTTACTATACCGTCCAACCTGGCTTGATACAACGTCTACAGTGGGTTGATACATCATTCACAGTGGATCGTTGGATTCAGCGGCTATCGTTCTCGCGAACTACGACTCAGGAGTGGGTTCACACAGCGTCCAAAATGGGTTACCACACCATCCAAACTGGCTTCATACAGCGTCCAGAGTGGGTTCATACAGCATTTGGAGTGGATTGACGTAGCGTCGAAAGTGGGCGCACTGCTGGGTACAGTCTGCAACGAAGTCACTGACACACGCTCAGAATTGAGGACGGTGCCGGACAAGAGCCCACCAAGCTTATCGTGATGAAGACTTTTCTTTGGGGATCAGCGTTTGTGAGACCGGGAGTTGTCAGCGACTTTAATCACAGACTGCCGTATAAGTTGACTCGATGCGCGTCCTTTCACGCACTGAACAACCCAATTGTTCGCAGTAAAGATGCTGTCCAACACGTCGATTGACGGACTAGCACGAGTCCCATATGCTCCATCAAACTTGTCTCTGGTATCACTGGCGCAGTCCTTCCCAGCAATGATTGCTATCTTGCTAGGGCTTGTGGCCGTACTCTCGACCGTCGTTAGTAACAGCGAAAAGCCGAAACCACCGCTAGCAAATCCTCCACGCTGGTACCAAACTACTTTGTCAAAACGGATTGAGTTTCTCAAGAACGGAAGAGCCATACTTGGCGATGCGAGAAAACGCTACGGCAAGCAGCCCTATAGGTTGATCGTCGACACAGGCGAATGTCTTATCCTACCTCCTGAGTATGCAGCAACAATCCGTAACAGCATGGATCTTAGCTTCGCAAAAGCAATAGAGAAGAACTTCTCGGGACATGTTTCCGGCTTCGAGATGTATGCCGTCTTGCTCCACGAACAAAGACTTGTACAAAACGTTGTGAAGGACCAACTTACTAAATACTTGAGTAAGAAGCAAGCAACCACGAGTATAATACGAAGCTAACAAGACTCCCCAAGACGTCTTGACAAAGCCCCTCTCGGAAGAAGCCAGTCATGCTCTCGACGTGATATTCGGCCGAGATACGGGTGAGATAACCTTCCTCTTCGTCTCAAACAGATGATACGAGCTGACCACCTAGCAGAATGGAGAGAAACCGTTATAGCAGACAGCATTCTCCAACTGATCGCCCGTCTCTCCACCAGAGTCTTTCTGGGCGACACCATGTGCCGCAACACAGCGTGGCTCGAAGCTTCCAAAGCCTACACGGTAGCAAGCTTCACCATGATTCTCAAGATGACTGCCCTACCATCCTCGCTCAAGTTCCTCGTTCCCTGGTTCTCATCCGAAGCGAAGAACGTCTTCAAACACGGAGCCACATGCCGCGCAATCCTCACACCTCTTCTCGCCGAGCGTCGAGCGCTGAAAGCTGAAGCTAGGAGAAACGGCAAACCGGAACCTGTCTTCAACGACATGATCGATTGGTTCGAGCAGAAGAGCGGAGGGACAGGGTACGACCCTGCTCTCTACCAGCTTGCGCTATCTTTCGTAGCGATACATACGACCAGTGAGCTGCTAACGCATGCTATAACCTTGCTGGCAAATGAACCCCACTACGTTGCGGCATTGCGAGAGGAAATCGTGAGGGTACTAACAGCCGACGGGCTGACCAAGGCGGCGCTCGCAAACCTCACGTTGATGGACAGCGCGTTGAAGGAGTCGCAGCCGTATAGACCCGCTGCATTCCGTAAGTCGTTCAGTCGAAGCCGGAAAAGAACTCCAAGCTGACCCTGCCCCAGTAACAATGCGTCGTCAAGCCCAGCGCACCGTCGTTCTCCCCAACGGCCTCGTCATCACAAAAGGCGAGCAAATCGCCGTCGACGGCTTCAACATGTCAGACCCCACCGTCTACCCCGATCCACACAAATACGACATATACCGCTACCAGCGCATGCGCGCCAGCACCGACCGCGCCACAGTCAGTCAGTCGCATCTCGTTTCCACCGGTCCCAATAACCTTTCGTTTGGGCATGGCGCACAAGGCTGTCCAGGCAGGTTCTTCGCTGCGAATGAGATGAAAATCGCCCTGTGCCATTTGTTGCTCAAGTACGATTGGCAGTTGGCTGAGGAGACGGATCTGGAATCGAGGTTCTTGTTTGGCGAGACGGAGGCGCTGAGTAAAGGGAATAGGCTGAGGTTTAGGCGGAGGAGGGAGGAGATTGATTTGGAGGGGTTGGCTTATGTGTGATTGGGCTTGAGGTACACTTGTAGAGTAGCGATATACCTATTTTATGTGACGCGATGTTCATGTAGCACGAAAGTGTGGTGTTGCTGCGGGCGGGCGTGATGAGGGCCGCCAGGCGCCAAGGATCAGCGCGTGGCGGGTTCGACGGCCCTCGCCCGAGCTTCCGCGTGCCGTCTCACCTCCTGCACTCCACTCACCACCTGTGCGCATTCCGATGCTGGCCGTGAGACTTTCGCATCTGCCTATCCTGTTGTGGTAACAGCCGACGAGACTTCGGACACTATGATGGCCTTGCTCGGAAGACATCATGTCTCACCGGGACCCGGCGACTTGATCAAGTCTCCGAGATGATGCGCCTTGGTGGTCAGCCTTCGGAAACATTACAGTAACCGGCGCTCGAGATGGTTCAGCGTCGGCATGATGCTTGAAGTATACGAAAAGTTCCCGTTCCTTTAGACGATCCTGTGCAGGTAGGGATGTATATATACCTATCACGAAGCCAAACCAAAGATGCCACACGCGCATCAGTCTGATCACTCTACAACCTCACCCTTCCCAACTTACCATGTCGTCGCAGAACCAGCAGCATGAAACAACCGTCTGGCTCTGGCCGACGGGCCTGTTCCCTCGCCGGATCGTCTACTACCTTCGCGCAAAGAACATCACGTCCTCGATGCTTCACGAGAAGAACATACGTCTTATCCCCATCTTTCTTGACAACGATGCGCCAACGCCAGACCTCGTCCCCCACACCGGCCTCGAAGCCCGTCCTACCGGAACGTCGGTGCCGGCATTGCGTATCACACATGCCGATGGCACGGTCTTCTGGATATACGAGTCGAATGCGATCATGGAGTACTTCGAAGAAGTCTTCAGCGTGGACAATGGGTATCCGGACCTAAGGGGCGCGACCATACAACAACGAGCTCGGACGAGAGACATCTTGAGCCTGCTCTCCGATGCCATCACTTGGAGCAACGTCGCGCTTGTACATTCAGATCCCAATACGATATCTTGGTCGGGCTTGGCAGAGGACGAGATGAGCGAGAGTGCGGCAAAGCATGCGCGTGGCAAGTTCCACGTGCTCTTGTCGCGGTTGGAGGCTCGTATACAAGGAGACGTGGTTGGCAACAAGAGCCAGAGCTTGAGTGGTGATGGTGCAAACGTCACATTAGCGGACGTCTGCCTCATGGCCCAGGTGGAGTATATGCAGGAGATGTATGGTCTCGACTGGGTGGCCGAACATGGGGTGTTGAGGGTCTGGTATGATAGGAGCAAGGCGCAGAGTTGGGTTGTCAGGAGGATTGTGCTGCAGGAAGTTGAGAAATCAGGGGATTGGACCGAAATGCTTGGCATATAAGAACGGCGGTATGTAGTTGAAAGATGCCCAGTCGACTCTGAACTGCTCTCAATCGGAATCGTGCTCTATTCCGCTGTTCCGATGTCGTTGCGCGGCTCTTGAGTTGAGAGGGCTTGGGGCAGTCGCCAAGAACCAGCTTAAGCGGGGATTCAATCCAGCCACTCCCGCGGTCATGCGCACCGTCTCACCTCCCACCTCGCAGCATGCACACCTATGGAAGCTGATGCGCGACCGCCAGCCAGAGCCTCACCCTTCTCGGAACCCGCCGATGAGAGCTCTATTCGTCTACTCCGCTTCTCGCAGCCCGAAGATGGCGTCTTCGTTGGCAAGCTGCAGAAGTTCCCCATCGCCAGCGCGCCTCATTACTACACAGCCAGCTATGTGTGGGGCGAGCGCAAGTACAAAGGTGCAAAGATTAACCTGAAGACTGGAGGACTACCAATACTGAATAGCTTGGTACCATTTATCCACATGGTCACCCGCCATGGCGACTTCAAGGCCACAGACTGGTGGTGGATTGACTCGCTGTGCATCAACTTGGATGATCCCAGCGAACGCGAGAAACAAGTGCGCATCATGGCAGACATCTATAAAAAAGCGAGGCGAGCGATCATCTGGCTGGGTGAAAAGAAAGAAGATGGTAGCGACTGCACCGATGCGATCGACTTCATGCACTACCTGTCCACCTTGCAGATCGGGTTCAATGGAGACGACCAGGCCATGCGTAGAAAGCTCCAGAACTCCGAGTTCACCGACAAGTGTGTCGCTGTCAGTAATCTACTCGCCAGGCCATGGTGGACCAGGGTCTGGACGTTACAAGAGTTTGTTTTGCCAAAAGAGGCGAAACTTTACTGTGGTGTGCATAGTATCAGCCGCGGAAGGTTCAAAAGTGCCATCTATAGCATCTTCCTTTGCAGCACCATCAGCAAAGACTTCGAACACGAGCTTGTTCCGCGCAAGCTCTTTGACGGAGCCTTCAATCGCCGCCGCATTCATCAATGGCACACTAAGCCAGCCTCGATCGGTATCAATCTGATCGCCATCATGGCGTACCTGGGTAATCACTCCGCCACCGACAGCAGAGATCGCATTTACTCCGTGCTAGGTTTGATCACTGAACAAGACCGAGCGCTCATCGGATCTGCCGAATATACTACCAGCATTGCGCACCAGTTCGCACGGCTTGTTCGCTCTTTCTGGTGTGTACATCGGTCCCTGGATATTGTCTGCTTTACGCATCTATTCTGTCTTAACGCTGCGGTCAGTGACCCTGGCGTCGAAGATCCAGTGCCTACCTGGGCTCCAGACTGGAGGACGACAATCGACTTCGCTTCGCCTGTGCCGCTGATGGCAAGCCAAAGCGCGTGTGAGCACATTGGAAACTTCAGACCGCTGCGATCAACACGCTGGAAAGCAATGTACGATGCTCCTGGAGAGACACTGAGAAAAGAGGCAGATGTTTCCTTTGTCGAAGACCTGAAGGAGCTCCACTGCAACGGTGTCGTGCTGGACACTATTCACGGGCTCGGTGGGCTTGACGAGCGGGAACTGCGGTGCGAAAGCTTTGTATGCCGCGAGGCCGGTCATGACTTGATGCAGTCGCGGCAGGACCAGCAGAGCGCTCGGGGAGTCGCAAAGCAGCCTTCCGAGTGGCTTGAGGCCATAGCACGGTCCTTGGTTATCGACCGCCGCGACAAGTACCTTTGCTTCCAGGCGCCAGATCACTACATCAGCGACTTCCTCTTCCTCTGTCATGCCTGTGTTGACGGCGATCCCGTCGACTGGAGCTTTGCAACATGGTTTGAGCGCAACCATCATGTGATGTTCGGCAATATGTCGCTCGTAGACATAGTCCGACAGATACCCACTAAATTTTCTTCACCCCCTCCAACACTGCATCGGCCACCGTCGCATCCCGTACATCAGATGAACGACAAGCTCGACACCTTTCTCTCACGCTTCCACGATACTGTGCGAAAGAAAGCGCGCCGGCTGATGGTCACCGAACAAGGCTACGTTGGCATGGCGCCGTGTCGCGCAAGACCCGGCGATGTCGTGGCTATCCTGTTCGGATGCAGCATTCCACTTGTCTTACGAGAAACGGCGTCGCAATCTGCGTGGCAGGTTGTCGGCGAGGGCTTTGTACACCGCCAAATGAACGGCGAGATTGCAGACGAGCTGAAGAACGGGACGCTCAATGTACGTCGGTTGAGGCTAGTCTAAGCTGCAGCAGCTACTTCTTACGCGCGTGATGCGTCGATAAAACAAGTGACCAGCGAGCGGTACAGCGCATGCAACGTAATCGGTGCCTCTGCTATAGCTCAGCCTTCTGGTCCGACATCAGCCTTGTCTGTGTTGGTGCACCTATTGCCAACCCAGATGACCCGAAACATCTCAGCATCAAAATACCTCGAGCGAGATCCGCGAGCCGCCAGCCTTCATCTGCCATGATCCTCGCTCTCTTTCAAGACGCGCGACGATGCTGCAACTTTCCTGGGCTTTATCCAAGGCTCGAAAGTTTCTTTCCTGCACCAGGCTGTGCGCTAATCCACAACACTGCGATAAGGAAGCCCACTTCCCGCAGCTTCTTGACGATATGTCGTATCACAGGTTGGATGATCATGTCATAACGCCTGGCGATGATCGTATTGGTTGCACGAAGGGGAAGTATTATTCTTGGGCGTCAAGAGTGCGCCGATCGGGGGCCGTTTAGCTGTGTGATACCACAGCCATGCGCCACTTAGCATCGTGATTCGCAACAACTGGACCAGACTACAGTTGAATTTCGATACAAGGAAGATAGGCTTGTTACGCCTGTGTATAAAGGCAAGCCTTCTGGACTTACTGACGACTGTCCACTTACCGTGCTCGCTTCAGCCTCAGGCCCTGACACCTTGCCTCGTAGCGAACAAGCCGCGCAAAGATCTCTCCAACATGTCCGGCGACTTTTACTATCCCCTCGCTCCACTCTATGTCAACGTCAACGACAAGGTGGAATTGTCGTGGTGGTCAACATTTGCCGAACGACTACAGTTCTGGTGCTATGAGGCCAGCACCAATCCAGATCTAGGTTACAGTGCGGCCCTCACAACACATCTCCAAGATCATGTTTGACCTAACAGAATTTTAGTATACGAGTACGACATTCCGCAGAATGGCACCCAAGATCTACCGCTGCCAATGCTGGAGCAGGACGTGAAAGATTGGAGCGGGCCTGTCAGTTGCGGTGTTAAGTTTTACGAGAGAGGTGGAACCACGAGTGTCTTTGCCGCTTCAGTCACCGTAACCTCCGTTGCGACTCAGCCCGCTTCAATCTTCGCTTCAGCGTCGACAGTCACGTATGAGCGCACCATGACAAGCGCGTCTGCTTCGGGCACGGCATCTACCCCCGTCAACACAGGCAATACAGCACCGCCAACCGTGACGCCCACCAATCCGGTCGTCACCACAAGCTCAAGCGACAGTGCTGGTCTGTCCACAGGAGCGAAGGCTGGCATCGGCGCCGGTATTGGTGTTTCCGCGTTGCTTGTCGCTGCGGCTGCATACCTGTTCTACCGCAACCATCGCAAGCTCAAAGACCTCAACGCACGTCTTAGCTACCAATCCCAAGCCGAGCAGTTCAATAAGCCTCCGGGTGTTGCGGTCGCGCCTCATGGAAGCAATGGATCTGAGAGGCCGTACAGTGAGGCTACGATGTCGCAGGTTCATTCATCGCCGCAGGTACCGGTGCAGCTTTCATAGGCGTGCGCTCGGGGCAGGACCGGTACTAGTATTGCGCGCTGCGCTCGCAAGAGATCTTGATCAGTTTCGCGATTATAGTATCACTATATACTCTCTCTTTCGATCGCCTCACCTGCAACTTTCTGAAGGTCATGACTAGAGAGCGGAAGCGGAAAGTGTAGTCAGCCCGATTAGAATTACTTCTTACTCGTCTTCAGAAGCGTGTCTGAACCCCACACGAAGCGACCTCAGCCCTGCCCAACCACCATCTCCGACTTCCCAACCCCCGCAACGTGCATGTCCAAGGTTCCTCTCGAGAAGACCCAGGCTCGAGCGCGAAGCCCAGAAGCCTTGTCTGGATCGCTGTGCTTCCGAAACCCGCCAATTGGCGAAAATGCCAAGTGTATGGCGCAGCCCATGTGAGGTGGCACGTGTGGGTGGCCACCACCTGCGTTTTCGGCTACGGCTCAGCCTCACAGAAGCAATCTTGAGCTCCCCTCAACAACAAACGTCCAAAATGACCCTTTCGCCAATCTCCCTGGACTCACAATGTGACGAACTCCAGATTCCTAGATCAGCGGCGTCTACCAGCTTGACGATGCGAGACACCGCCTTGACTTCTCCCAGCGTGCCCAGGCTTGCGGCATAATGTTCCGCATCGTGCTGCATCGTGGACCCACTCCACATAATGGCAACGACAGAACAAGGCATACCGAATCCATGTGGCTTCAACATGGCGTTCTTCTCCATTCGTTATCGCGAAAAAGAAACTCGTTTGCACACTCGTTAGTATGCTGAATGGGGGCCATCTCGCTACACTGCGCTCTCAGCCTCACGCTACTTCGCCTCGGGCTTCGCGCGCTATCGATCGAGGCTGCAAAAGACTTGCTGGCAATAAAGCTAGATATATGCGAGGTAGAGATAGGCGGATCGCTGGCCCCTACAAAGTTGCAGCAGCCGCTGCGCTTGTTCACTACAATCTTTCCGTTGTCCCGTTGAATCACCACTTTATTCACCTCTATTCTTCGTTCACCTTACGCCCCCGAAAGCATCTGAACATGTCAGGCGCCTTCAACTATCCGCGCGAGGAACACCACGTTGTCTTGAACGTCGATGATGAGGTGGACGTATCGTGGTGGTCGACGTTTGCGAATACACTCGTGATCCAATGCTACGAAGGAGGCGACATCGAAGCAGGGCAGGAGGAGAGTAAGATCTATTACAGCTTCTCTTATCATCGCAGCTCCGCTAACATGCAATGAAGCCTTCAGCATAGTAATTGATCAGAATGGAACCTACCAATGGTCGCCAATCCACCTGTCCCGCCAATTCGATGACTGGTCTATTCCCGCAGGGTGCATACTTTCAATCGAAGAAGCGGGCGCCGGTAATATAGGGGGTGCCACGATAGGCGTTACTTCCGCCGCCTCTTCTCAACCCGCATCGATGTTCGCGTTGTCTTCGACTGTAGCGTTAAACCCCGAAACATCATCTTCGCCAACGCCAATGCCAATGCCGATGTCATCTACAACCGCGGTCTCGAGCCCTGCTAGTACAGTACCATCGACACCATCGACGCCCACACCCACAGGGCCGATCGATACCACCGCAACAGGTGCAGATAACGGCGGCGGCTTATCGACTAGCGCAAAGGCTGGTATCGGTGCTGGTGCCGCGGTGGGCGCATTGTTTGTCGCAGCAGTAGCATTCTTATTCTACCGTAATCGTCGCAAGAACAAGAACATGAATACCAGGATGAGTTATCAACCCGAAGCTGAAGCGCAGCAGTACGAGAAGCTACCTAGTGTTGCGGTCGCGCATCACGCAGACGACCGAGACACAAAGCCTTACAACAATACCCCAACTTAGTCGCAGGAACTTCCATCGCTACATGTGCCGCTGTTAGAGCTTGCGGCTACGCGGTAGGAATAGAGACGTTTAGTGTAGAACAAGGAAGAATGTATTTAACCTGCTATACGACGGCATTATAGAACTACTAAGTTGCGGAACGAAGAATAGGAAGGAAAAAGGGAAGAACATACTACACACGCTCGCGTTACAATTTTAATAGTACTAATAGACTTAATACGTATCACTTACTAGATTAATAGCATGCTCTTAGCTCTGCGCCTTAATTTTAGTTTCTACCTAGGTCGCTCTAAGCTTCTACTGCGCATTTATGTTGCAACGCTGTGTCGCTTAATCTATACGCTACTGTACCTCTACTAGCTAACTTAGAAGAAAGGTCTATCGCAGTAAAGGTCTACACTCTAGCTAGACGTTGTACACACGCAATGCATTGTTTAATCTAGAAACTACGAAGATGCTGTTAGAATACGCTGCGCAACTAAACCTAATCTAATCTATAAATCTAACTAAGCTAAGAAGAGGCATACCGCTGTATAGTAGCTGCGGCGCGCCTAGGTTACGCGTCACGACCTTATAGTCGAAGAAGAAGCCTACCCTAGAGAACGTGCTTAGGGCCACTAGCTCTAAGCAATTTTTAGTAGTACTAATAAGAACTAATAAAGAATAAAAGGTAGAACTAAGAGCCTAGCTCTAAGCCGCTGCTAGCAGCTATCTAATGTAATACTAGATATTCTAAAGAGGCTATTTTGTGCAGAATTACTGTGCAATTCTAAATTTGCCCTTAGATTATCTATAGCTAGTTAGAATAAAGAGTTATATAGGCGTAAAGTTAGGAGGTTAGTTTTAGTGTTTCTTATATAACTGCAGCTACACAGCTACTACAGAAAGATTCTAGCTATACTATTTTAATTAGAATTATAGCGCAAATCTAACGCTGCGCCTTACTTAGCTCTAGCGCGTAAGATAAGCAAGATATTGCGCAAACAAAGCAGCAAGACAAAAGAACAGCGCTGCACTTAGTATTTGTAAGTAAGAAAAGAAATTGTAAAAAGCTATATTGTAGAGAAAAGTGTTGCGATTTTAACAGTGTGCCTCGCTTAGTTATAGCTAGTCTGGGTCCCGAGATATATCCGAAAGAAGAATTTTTAAAGTAGACTTAGTAAAAAAACCCGTGGACCCGTAACCGCTGTGTGTCGTTTAGGGTTAGGGTTAGGGTTAGGGTTAGGGTTAGGGTTAGGGTTAGGGTTAGGGTTAGGGTTAGGG